TGAGCTTATGCTTGAAATAATTCCTAAATTATATGATCATAGAGGAACTTTTAATTGATTTCATGCAAATCAGTACATTTCTAAAAGATTTATTATTTCAGAAAATGGATTTGATAATATAAATATATATTTTTTTTCAAATAAAATATCATATGCATCAAAACCAATGCGTACAAAGCTAATAAAAAACAATAGTGACGAAGACGCTCATACCATCTCTACTTCCCTTGTACTCGGAGTTCTATCGATTTTACGATCTTTCCGAAAAATAAAATGTAAAGGTGTGTAACAAAGGAAGCACAATCCAAACGGGAGAGCCATCATCCACATGATCCCTTTCGACAACGCCTCGGCCTCACGACCAGAGTCTTTAATATTATCTACTCTTTTTGTGTCAAACCCGAAAACTTTCTCGGACATAATCCCAACCAAAGGCGCACCAAATGAAGAGAAAGACACTTCGAGAGCACGATCAAATGAATAGACCATTGTCCGATGCGAAGGAGGAACAATCTCAGCTAAAATTGGAGAGTTAATAGCTGGTCCACACCAAGTTATGGTTAGACCCATTACAAAGAGTGTGACCATGAAGATGTAGTAACTGTTAGTTGACTGTGGGATTATTCTTAGAAGAACAATGGAGAATATAGCTCCCATGAGCACGCTAAATTGCGCACAAATCAATCTGCCTGAGTTTGGAAACACACGAGACATTTTGTCTGCAACTATTCCTCCGACTAATGATCCTATTGCTTGTCCGGTAGTGAATATTCCGTTTAGAAGCGCCGCCTGATCATGATTAAACCCTGAAAAAAAAAAACACTTTGAGATTGAAAACAATACTTTCAAACAAATATATTTGTGAAAATGTTTTCAAATAAGGGTATTTTTGAATATTTGTGAAACAAATTTAGATATGACATAAGTTTGGAAAAAAAATTCTCATAGTATTTCGAATGAACTTATATAATGAACCATTCAATATATATGACATAAGTTTTGTTGGGTTTTAGCCTTTTAGGTGGGTACGATCTAGTGCAAAACTTGAGAATATGGATGCATACCAATGAGTTCGAACCACATTGTCCAGAAAATCATTGCATTCCATGGCAACGAACCCACGATTCCTTGCAATACGATGATCTGAAATGTTCGTAATTTCGCCACATCTTTTATGGCCACCCACGATTCCATCCAAACCGAAGAGCTCGAACTATCCATTGTTGCAGCAAGAGCATTGTTTTCATCTCTACAAAAACCGCATTAGAATACTCATAACAAACCATATAAAAAAGCTATAATAAAAAAACTAGTATAATAACTATATAAAAAAAACTATAATCAAGAAGAGATATATATTACCGTTGGTGATCATTAGGAACAATCGAGTTGCTTGGTTTCTTTTCCCTCGGGTCAGCGACAAAGAAGAAAACAAGAAACCCGATCATCGCACTCAGCATTGCGCTCAATAGATAGGCGCATCGCCATCCGGAGATACCGAAGATAACATGACCAGCCATGACTGTTGGCACGACGGTTCCACCTATACCTCCAACCGTACCAATGAGATTCCATAAACCAAAACCAAAACCTCTCACACTATCCTTAAAGCTATCCGCAATTATCGACTGAAGCACCGGATAAACAATTGCATGTCCAACCCCATTAAATCCGGCACCAGCTTTAACCTAGTCCAAGTAACATGATCAAACCCAAATCAAACATATGTCTATATAACCATTTAGCCATTATACATGCATGCTTTCAGAATTGTACGTGTTTGAGTTCAAGTAACAATGGTCGGCTCATAGAGAGGTGAGAGGTGCGACTGTCCGGGGTCAGGACTAGCATTTAATTTTTCTCCTTTACAGATTTTTTTGAAAAGAATACAAACAAATTAGCCTTAAAAAGAATTTTTAAAGATAAACATGCATATATATGATGTTGAAAACCAATTTTTAAAAAGAAAATCTCACGCAAAAGGCACTTTGATTCATTTTTGTAAAATGTGACAAACATCAACATTTAAAAAGATTAAAGCGTAAACAAATAGTTTTGGCCCCATAACCCCTTAGTTTACAGCTTTAATTTGATCTAAAGCATCAAATCTCTACCAAACATGAATTGCTGGGCGGTCATACCTAAAGCTACTGTCTATAAAAATTCTACATTTTTATGTTTTCAGTACAAAATTCAATTATCAGTTCAATTACTTGTCTTAGTAAAAGACATATTCTTCTGTCTTAAGTATTGAATTTAAAAATATATATAGTCACAGTTGTGTCTGGATTATTTCCTTATATTTAGTTATAGTCTGATATATATATTTTCCCTTTTGTTCATGTTCTCAAAATTGATATGAATTTTGGTACTAGAGTTTAGATGGTATTAGATAAATTATGATCGTCAAAAAATATAAGTAAATGAAATAAAACCAGGCTGAAGTAGCGGCTGACTCCAGTTGCAGCACTTGATGAGACCCAAAAGAAACTACCAAATGCGAAAACTGCCGGACGATCATAACTGATGGCTAATAGACCGGCTAAAGGCGATGCAACTCCTTGAACAATGGTTCTTATAAAAGAGAGCAATCCAATATCAGACAGATTCGCATGAAATGCTTCTTTCAGTTCTTTGGCAGTTGAATTAATGAGTTTTTCGTCAAATCGTTGCATCATCGTCGCTAAGTTGATGATAATGAGAGATATAGAGATTCCATAAAGGGTACCTGTTCTATAAAACATTCGGTCGAAAACACAAAACAATAACATTGTTACACATTGTAGAGTCTATTATGTTAACAAAAGAAAGAAAATATCAATAGAAAGGAAAAATATACAAATAGTGGCATTAACACTACGAAAGTGAGTAAAAAGATTACTCTTAATCGAAGAAGAACATAAGGTTTCATTACGAAAGAGTGAAAGTTGCTTACTTAATTTTCATGGTTTTAGTATGAAGATGACTCGTGCATAGAAACGATGACACTTTTCGCTTGATTGGAGTCAATTTTCTTAACACAATATTTTGAAAGTAAACTACTATTAAAAAAAATTATAAGGTGAGTTAAAGTATTTATTGAAGGTGTTTGAGAATAAATAATAATAGAACATTTAATACAAAAAGAAACATTGGAAAGAAAAGAAATAGCAATTCTGATTATTCTTTTTGTTTACTACTTATATTTAGATTCCCAATAGTAATAACAAATCGAAACAATGTTAGAGGAAGCAGATCTAGTAAGATTTGAATTTTAAGTGAAAAATCAGCTGAATATCTTGATATATTAATTGTTTTGTTTTTTTCTTCATGTCTCTAGATTTTGTTTTCTCTAAATAATATTAATATTTGGTGCGTATTTACTATTACATGCGGATTGTGATTTTAACACACCAATCTGTACCGCACATGGTTAAGATTTATTACTTTTCTATTTTTTTTTAATCAAAAACCGCTAATACACAATATTATATGTTGATTGGTGTTATTCAAAGCGGATCACTAAAAGAGGTCAAATACCGCAATTTTACATGTCCCCATTCATAGTTGAGTGTATTTTAGGTTGGGTAAGTGCGGTTCTTCTGTATTTTAGGTTGGGTTAGTGCGGTTCTTCGGTATAGACCAATACAGTTTTCCTTTTGAAAAAAAATAAATGTTATACGAAATATTTTTTAAAATTAAGTTTTAAATATGATAACACTATACCCGCATATAACCAACATTCAACTTATGTTCTATTTATTCGGCACTGCATATTCCGCATAATTTGTTTTTTCTGCATGAACCGTATTTAAACCGCATCGCTCTACTTATCTACTTGTTCCGCACCGCATGAACCGCTGTCATCAATCGGAGTCTTAGGGTCCGAATGATGACATTAAATTGTGCGGTGTGGATATAAAAATGGTGTAGTGTGGTACGGTACAAGTGCGGTTCGTGCGAAAAAATACATTATGCGGAACAAGTGCGGTTTGCATAAAAAAGCGGGACGAAACAATGTTTGATTGGTGAAACACATAACATGTGGTACAAAAAAATTGTTTGATTGGTGAAAATCGATAAAAGCGGTTTGAGATAGATATTTTAGATAAAAAATTTAGAAAATAAAATTAAATAATGTTATTACTATTGCATAATTTTTTTTTTTTAATTTAATAACTAATGACCAACTTTTAGATATATATTAAATTATTTAAAAAACATACTTTTGACAAGTAAATAATTTTCAACATAAAATACAATTTTCTAATTATTAAATAACAAGATGAATACATTAAAAATAATTAAGTAACAACGATAAAATTTCTTTTGCTAAATATTAATGAAACTAGATTATTACACATCTAAATTTAAAACTTTTTGGTAGTAATAAGTTGATTATTGTAACTAACTTTTGAACCAAATAAATATTTTAAAAGTTAGATCATTACACATTTAGATTAAAAACCATTGGTTATAGTAGTAAATTGATTATGTATTAAAAAAACAGATATATTAAATTTAATTATATTTTCAATTTTGTAAAGTAATCTATTTAGTATTTTTTGTAAAATAAGCATACTTATTAAATAATCTATTAAGATAGAAAAATATTTACCTTTTTGACCAAACAAAAAAAGAGATAGAAAAATAAAAGGATGATTTATACTTGAAGAGGAAAACAATTTATACTTTTGCTTATGGAGTTTGTGTGGGATAAATTTCTAGGCGGATATTTTATTCTATAAAAAAAATATTATTACCTAATGATTTGTGGATTTTTTGTTGATCCTCTGGGTTTTGCACACGGTACAAATCTGAAGTGCGGTTCTTTATTTTCTGTGTAATTTGCTGTCTCGAAAAATCATGTGCGAATTTCTAAACTCCAT